AAATAAGTTATAATTCTCACGTGTTAATCTAATCAGGATTACTTTTTAAAATTAAAACAAAAAAAGCCAGTTTGGAAGATAAATTTATATACCTGAATTTATTGTGTCAAATTTTTTGTCTGCTTCCTAGTGAGTAACTAATTATTAGTATTTAGTAAGTTATACAATTTCTTTGTTTGCCCTAGAGAACCATACATTATTAATTGTTTTTTAGATACAATGAAAAAATCCTAGGCATGATCATTATCAAGGTAAGGAAGGCGCACATTCCTTTTTTAGTTTTAAAACCTTTCAAATTGTTTAAATTTGAGAAAATGCCCAAGACAATAAAAAAGAAAGATATACTTAATAAATTTAATTCGTTTAGGAATGAGAATTTTTTAAACGATTCTTAAGAGGGAGATGAAGATGGAAAAGAAAGAAAAATTGAAATATCGGAATTCATTTCATTCACACCATTTTCGAAAAAAGAATTTTAAAAAAAGAAAAAGTGGCAGGAAAATGACAATTCCTTCAGTTTCTAGAAGTTTAAAAAATAACCAAATCAAATTTGTATATTTTTTAAACAGCCCGAAAAGAGCATGAAACTTTTTGACCAGTGTGGTACTTCGGTGTGAACAACGATTAGTGACCTAGTCTGGTTGACAATGAAGGAAGAGTGAATTCGCTCCTCACTAGATGCCTTAAGAAGGTCTTGTACCAAAACAAAGCTAGGATTAATAAACTTTTTGGAGTCAGTGTCAATTCCTTTTGGTTTCTGTACATCCAAATCGAAGTTCCAAATTCTCTTTTTATTCAACACACACAAAAATATCATAAAAAGCACATATGGTATTCCTGGTACATTTACCAGGTGCGAATGTTTTGTCTTTTTTAAGTAATTCTGATTGCTCGGGAAAGGTCACTTTGCCCTAGTTTAAATTGGAAGTTTTTCCTCAACTTGGATTAACTAACAAAAAACCTTCCATCACTGATTTTTCTCTCAGTTACAATTTTCTGGTGTTTAGGAGTTTTTCCAGATCTTGAAAATAATTGCAAATTTCATAATTCCCCGTGTCGGAGAGAAACTTCCTCATCCATCTGGCGATTAAAATATTTTCTAAGTACTATTTGCAAAAATAAATAATAAAAAATAAACACATTCAGTTAATATTGCTTATTGTCAAAGTTTGTTTCTCTCTCTCTTTGATGAAAAAAAAAAAAAAAAAAAAAAGTTTTGTGAACAATAAACATTGACATAACTGAAAAACGGAAAATAGTTTCGGGTCTTTAACAGGATTTTTTTACGATTTTGAACCACTGAAGTTGTGAATTCGAATTATGACTAATCAATGTTTATAAAACAGCAATTTACACCAATACAAATACGGATTATTTATGAAATACTTATCCATGTATTCAGTTCACTAACACGGTAACATTGGACTAAGAATGCCATATGCCTGTTCTCAAAAGTGGTGTTTTTTTTTGTTTTGTTTACACTACACTAGGAATCGGAAAATAAAATGTCAATTTAAAGCTGAGAGTGTGTGTGGGGGGGGGAGCTCTGCCATAGTTATTTCTGCATTTTTAAGTCTGCACTATTCAAGTGGTAAAAAAAAAAACCTAAAAGAAAACTAAAAGAAATTTAAATTACTAAATTTGAATTTGGAGTTTGAAAAATAATCAGGAAAACATGAGCATATTAATTATGATTTTTAAGATTGTTAATGTTATCAGATTTCTTTTGCGGTTCACATTGCTTAAATTGTCAAATAAAACATGAAATGTCAAGAATGCGGTTTTTATTTATTTATTAATTTTTATTTATATTTCGTTTTTACGAAGAGTTACGGGACCAGATGAATGAAGAGACCAATTAAAAAAATTACTTTTTTTTACTATTTTTATGAAAATATTCACATGTTATTATTAATTTAATGAATGAGTATGAAGTTAAAAACTGAGTTATAGCAGCAAAGTGCTCCTATGAAATATATTTCTGATGATTCATTCCAACTTATCCTTCACACACACACACACGTTACGTGAGTGTGTGTGTGAAAAATGTGAATATTTCCAAATCGACGAAGCTTGTTACGATTTAAATTCAGTTAGGAAAGAGCGGGTGGGGGGTTAGTAACTTTGATTTCGAGTTGAGAAAATTAACTGCCCACATTTTGTTTATATACTTATAAAAACTACGTTACTCAGAGACTAATAATTAGTATTCAGTATTTTTAAATTTATAATTTATTTAGTTAGCACTTTTTTTTTTTTTTTTTTTTAAAAGAAAATGAGAACTGGAGTAAAGCGACTAGTGTTTTTTTTTAATATGGACTTAAAAATGGTTGAATTTAATTTCTGTATGCCTATCTCTTGCTAACAATTTATTCAAAATATAAAACCTGAACCCAATAATGTTTGCAAGTCACATCAGTCGAGCACATGACGTGTGCGCTGACCCACGTCTCCATGGAAAATTCACATATTTTTGGCGAAATAGCAGGGTGTCGTCAATTACATGCGTGACTCTCAAATTAACGTCAATTGCAAGAAGCAGTATTCAGTGTACAAATTAAAGAAAATGTCAGTTGATCAGTGAACGTGTTATTCCTTTAGCGGGTGTATTTGTTTCGTTTTTTTTTCTCTTCTTTTTGTGTGTTGAAAGAAAAATAATAACACAGCCGGCGTTTACATAGACATTCATCCATTTTCTCGTTAAAAACACGGTAAAAGAAAAACCGGTCAAGGTACGTCATATCCGCTCCGGTAAAGACAAATACCAAACCGGGTTAGTAAGAAAAGTATATGAAACCTAAGTAAATAAATCGATTCCGTCATCGCTCAGTTATACTGCACATGATATTATTACCCCTATTTGGTTTTATGCTCATTGTTTTCGTTGCAATTTTTGTTTCTTCACTAATACTGTCTTTGTTATTTCATTTTCAGTAAGAAATCCATTAACATTTTTTTTAGTTGATTTTTTTTTACTCTTTGTCTTTTTTAAGTCAGTTTTTTGTTTTTGAGTTCGTAGAATTCATGGCATTTTTCTTCAGTTGATTCACTTATTTCATGAATTTTAAATGTACTGACCTGATATATTTGATTCTGCCATAATTTTTTTTACAGTTTTCAATTTTTATTATAGTTTTTTTGTAGCTAATCACCCAACTCTTCCAAGTTTCAAGGTTGAAAAGCACACACACACACACAAAAAAACGAATATTGATATTTTACAGCAAAGCAAGGAATATATGAATTTAATTAATTCACTAACTGAATACTTTCTTTTTTTAACCATTCATATTTTTTTACTTGAATGAACTTTCTTCAAAAAGTCTGTTTTCTTTTTGTTTTTGTTTTTTATCCATTGCAACATAAATGAACAATCAATCATATTGTTAGCTCAGTGACAATATGATAGTTCAATAAGTTCATCTACTGTTACTTCTTTCATTTAGACTTTATTCTTGAGACCAAATTCTATTCATCAGAGGCAGAAGAGTTTGGTAAGCAAAAAATGTTCTCCTTAATCTTTCCTGTGATTAGGTAAAGAAATATTTTACTTTTTGATGTTGTTGAAAAGTTTGAACCATTTTTCTCTATAATGTATTTCTTTTGCTTCCCACTTACTTAACACATTGTTATGATTACAAAGATTTAGAAGGTACAAATAAATTAATAAAATATTTCCGTAACACTTTTAGTATTTCCAAGCATTTCATGAATTTTTGTTCAACAGTTGCTTCAATGTTAGATCTTCAAAAACACTTTTACATCTAAACACAGTATTCCTCACTGCCAAAAATATTTTCTCAAACTCAAAATAAGACAAGCAGCAATTGCAAAAACTGGTAAATTTTTTTTTCTAAATAATATGAGAAATAAGATATATGATTATCTGCCCTTGGCAGTTTTAAGTTAGTCAAACAGATCACAGTTGCTGATTGGCATGCTTTTCTATCTTTTTTGAACATCTCTTTAATCTTGGTACAACCTTTGGAATGACCACATGCTGAATGGGTCATTACGTTTGCAAGGACCCATTTGTAATATGGATTAATATAATTTGTACAAATAAGTCAGTTGCATACTATTCTTTTATTATTACTACATTTGCATCCATCATGTGGGAATCTTATATGGATCTCACTCCAATTCCAATAATAATAAACCTGGCATTCTTTCTCTTCTAATCCACTGAGTATTTTTTATTTATTATTTTATTTTTAAGCCAATAAGAATAAAGTTGTTATATCATCTTTTCTTCGGGATAGTTTTCAATTGAAATTCAGCAACAATATTGCAGTCATTTTTTTTCTATGGTTAAAATTATTTTGTTGCACAAGCTTGGTTGTTCATGAATGACCTATAGTTAGATCTTTCCATATTTACTCTTTTGTACCAAATACAAATGGCATCTGGAAGTGTAGCAATATGTAAATGACTGCCTAATTAACATAGACTATATAAATGACCAAGCAGCAAGGATAGAGCAGCTCTCAGTATGCCAGATAAACAACTACCACTGTACTGATAAAATACAAAGGAAAGCCCACTTCATAACATGAAGAGTCATGCCAGTGGGAATTTTTAAACATAAAATAAGCATACCAGTTCAAATAAATGTTCTGCTTGGAATTTTTATAGAAATTTAATAAATGTAAAACAAGATAATAGTGCTTCAGAGAAAATTATTTGAAAAATAAGTATTCTGTACCAAATAAGAATGGTGCTGGTGCAAAAATTGAAGGAAATAATCCAATTAAATTGGCAACTCTTAAAATATCTTTTCATCAGCAATCGACACTGTTTTTGTGAACAAAAATATGATTTCAATCCTTCATAAATTTAGAGAATTCTCTCAATAGTTGATGAAACAAAAGTTACATATTTCCATGCAAAATAATGTTCTTGTATTCAATTTCTATAGCATTTCAAAATTCCTTTAGCTATGTAATATGCACAGCATAATCCTAGAACTTTTGACCATTAAACTCTTCCCTGCAATAGCCTACAGTCAAATCATGTTGAAAATACTGCTCTCATTTGATCACTGAAGTTAAGCTGTGTCAAGCCTGATTAGTACTTAGATGGAAGACCACTTGGGAACACCAGGTACTGTAAACAACTTCCTACAATCAAGATATATTTTGGCTTTAAATAACCTGCAAAGAGTTTATAAGCTATAAAAACCAAATCATTCCCCATTCTGGCTGAGCTGAAATTTGGTTCAAATAACTTTGCTATCAATTTGGAGGAGTAATCAGCAGTTTTTAAATGTGTTGTGAACAATTAAAAGAATCCAATATGTATGTGTGTGAAAGAAAGAATATGCTGATAAGAGGTTTGTTCTTGTTAGTGGTTTTTAGTCTACAGTTGGTAGTTTTGTGAACCACTGGCAACCAAGTTCCTTAGAAGTAGTTGCAGTACTAGTTAGTCCTTTTGGCACAAGTGAATTTTCTACTAATAACTTTTCAGATTACTAGCTCTCTTTTTTTTTTTTTTCTTAGGCTTAAGGATTTTGAAGACTAAATAGAACCTTTTGATTTATTAAGTATTTTATCTGAACAAACATGCCATATTCTCTACTATGATCTCTAAAATCAAACAACTTCAAGCAAAGATAATTTTTTTTCTTTCTTCTTGAAGCCAGGCATGAGCTTTAGGTTCATGTTTTTTTAAAAGCTGTGATTAGTTGTTAATTATAATGTCTCTTGCCATTGAGCAATAGGTAACTTTCTATTTTTTCTTTTTTTGTGTTATTTAATCAAATAAGACAACCCCCACCCCCAAAGCTAAAATAATTGATTTTGTAACAGTACACAACATAAAATCAGTTGGCACTTATTGTACAATTGCTGTACACAGATTTGAAACATTGCAGACCAAGACCTGAGACTCCAAAAATTGATTATCTTTGCTATACAAGAAGTTACAATTTTCCTTCTATTTTTCACTTCAAATCCAGCATTTATACAGAAATCAGAAAAAGATGCCATGTTTCTTTAACACTTGTTTTCAAGTTATTGAATAAAGTTTTGAACTGACATGCATCATCAGCAGATTCAAAGTCTTTCTTTCTCTCAGGTTATATTTTTTTCAAGTTGTGCATAATTTTTAATATGAACTCATCATCCAGTAAAAAAGCTAATAAACAAAATTCAGTGTAAAACTTTTATTATGGTCATAATTGCAATAAATCAGGCTTGTTTCATATTCTTCTAAAAGACATGAAGCAGAAAGTTTAGGAATGATCATACTGCATTCTGTTTACTAATAATATTCTATCAAATCCAGGCAAAATATCTTCTTTCTCCCAAATAAAGCAAATATTTTGTTTTGTTCTAAATCTTTGTTTTTTATTAATATTAATGCCATGAAAAATTTCTACAGCATACATTTATGTAAATATCTAGGTTCTGGCAAAAGGTTACAACAGTGGGATAGCCAATAATGAACAAATTCGGCATTGAATAATGAAACTAACACTCTATCACCAGACACCTTATTAGGGAGACCAGATGTCCAGCTGTAGACTAGATGTTCATCTTTTGAGCATTCTCTCTTGGTTTTAGCAAGATGTTAATATACTACAGAAAGCTTCAACAACCATTAAATGGTAATGGTAATATTAGCTGTTTCCTTATAAGGAAACATTCAGCAGTCATTGACTGATCAGCCAATACTACTGTTTGTTGAAATTTATCAAATCTTTCTCTTTTCAGGAAAATGTTTCTCAAGTTCAGTAGCTGTTATCACTCTTTCCAGTATAGATGGAGACTACCTTCCTAACCTTTTAAGGAAAATAGGTTTCTCAAGTTCAGTAGCTGTTATTACTCTTTCCACTATTGATGGGGGTTTCCTTCCTTGCCTTTTATTTTAAGTAGTGTGGAAGTGTCAGCCTCTTCATTACATCATTATTTTTTCTTCAAGTTACATGTGATATCCATTTTGGCTGTTGCTGCTGTTGAAAGTTCTCAAATGATGTGGTTTCAGTTTTTTGGTACAGTTCTTTCTTTATGATTTCAATAGTGCCAGTTCACAAAGTTTGAAGAAAGAAGATCTTTGTCAAGACTTACTAAAAAACTTAGAAAGTGGTTATCTATAGCAAGCAGATATTTATGGGTTTGGTGCCATGCATGATGTCCATATGAAAGTCTTGATCTGACAAAGCTTTCAATACAATATATACAGTTTTTAAAGTATGTCACAAAGAACTGTTAGAACTGCTCATTAACCTCAATATATTTAGAAAGGATATTAGAATAATCCAGAACCTATACTGGCAGTAAAATGCCTGCATACTGATAGAAAATGAGTTCAATAAATATACAAAAATATAAAGGAGTGTAAGACACGGATGTGTCTTCTCATCAGATCTATTCAATCTATACAGTAAGGCAATTCTGAGAGAATTAGAACTCCTACCAGGATTCATTATTGGCAGTCACAATCTTAACAACATAAGATATGCAGATGACACAGCATTGATGGCAGACACATAAAGGAAACTAAAAGAATTCCTACAGAAGATAGTGAAGGAAATTGAGAAGAAAGGACTAAGTACCAATTGCAAGAAAACTGAATACATGGTTTTCAGCAAAAGGAACAGCCAAACATACAAAATACAAATTGGAGGTACTGAAATTAAACAGGTGTAACAATTTACATATCTAGGAAGTGCTTTAATAGAGTATGGAAAATGCAACAGTGAAATTCAGAGAGGCATTGGGATAGCGAAAGATGCCTTCCAAAATCTAAGTAAAGTATTAAGAAACAGAAAACTTTTATAAGAAACAAAGGAAAGAGTACTGAATTGTTATGTAATATCAGTCCTATATGGCAGTGAATGCTGGACAGTTTCCTCCCAGATGAAGAAGTAACTTGAAGCAACAGAAATGTTCTACAGAAGGATGATGAGCATACCATGAACCTAGCATGTGAGCAATGACAAAGTTCTAAAGACAATGGAAACAAAAAGGACACTTTTACTTAACATCAAGAAGAGAGTTGAAATTTCTTGGACACATAATGAGGAAGGAGGTCTTCAAAAATTTAATATTGCCAGGATAGATTGAAGGCAAGAGAGACAGAGAAAAACAATACATAACCTACCTGGAAAGCTTGAGTGAATGGATGCCAGAGCAGAGTTTGGGAGAGATGGTGAAAAGATAAAATTTATTGAGAGCTACAAAGGAAGATGTGGAGAGTCATGATCGCTAATATCCCGAAGAAGTTGCTATTATCATGTCTGAGAGGATCAGTTTGCACAAATTCTTTCTTTTTCCTTTCCTTTTTTTTAATAGACTTTAATAAATCAAACTTAAATTCAGGCTGTGACTGCTCATGTTGCACTAATCCTCTTGGAAAACACATGGTTCCTCTACTTCTTGTTCTCTGTCCTATTGCCAGATATAAAAAGGTCTCATCACTGACTTGTCACAATGATGGAGAAAAGCGGGATGATTGGGCATTTGGGCTGACTATTTTCTTATAACTGTATCGGTTCAGGCAGCTGCAGCAAAAAACTTTGAAAACTCCCAGTCAAACTTGATAGGGATTTAATAAGGGTGGTTCAATTAGTCTATAGTCAGACATGAAGTTATTAGTTGAATTTTTTATCTGAAACTTTCACTGTATAATGTTTAGCACATAGGATTAATATTCACGCCTGAATTCGATGCATCAACAAGAAAGGAGATCGTGTTGAAAAATAATGTGTAATATAAATGCATTTTTTTTTATCTCTAGGTTATAAGCATTTAAAACAATGTACGGTTTTATTATAAAAACGAAAAACCAACTCATAATAGTACCAGTTATGAACATGGCTGCAATGTACTGATTGTATTTGGGAATTAAGAATGTCTACTTTTCATCAACTATTAGACTGTCTGCAATAGTACTTACATACCATTTATTATGTGAGTATAACTAAAATCATTGAAAATGATTAATAGATTAGCTAAAAGTGGTTGGAATCAAATATTTGGACAATTCTATATTCATTAAGCCCAGAAAAGAAAATGCTTGTTTGCATACAAGAAAAATGTAATTAATAAGAACCTTGTCAGCTTTGTTAAACAAAATATGTATTAAAGAAGAAAAATAACTTTCCAGTCTTGATAGAGTTCAAAAGTGTCTCCAAGTCCTTGTTGGAAAAGAATTATCTTCCACCCTCTAATCTCTCTCTCACAGGTATGATATGGCGAATCTCTCACTGCTCTATCCCTACTACCATGGAAAGTGCTCAGATGAACTACATTTCTTGGTTCCGTCAGGTCTAACCTTCATGGCTAAGACCTGCCATGCCACTTACAAACCACCCACATTCCGTATGTATTCTATCAGCAAGAAAGTAAGTTCCACTCAAACAGCTTCTCCCTGTGAACCACTGCCTTGTGGAACAGACTTCCAAGAGGATGGTTCTCCGATCACTGTAATCTTAAATTGTTTAAGTCTAGTGTCAGCCCTTATCTTCCCCTCCTATTCATATTAACTACCACTTAACTCTCTACAACAAGTGGTCCCCTGGGCCTTGTACAGGGTGAACCATATTGTAAAAAAAAAAAAAACATCACAAAACATCCATCTATAGATATATATGTATATATATTTATGATAAAAATTTAGTTTTAAGGGATACTATATTTATGAGTTAAAGTACTCAATATCAAGGATAGAGTGTGTGTAAATTTAAAAATGGTTTTTGATTTTGTCAACAGCACAGTATATAATAGGGTCAGTTGGGCACTCTCTGTGAGAAAAAGAGCACCATGACACAATTTACTCCGCCAGAAATTTGGAAATAGTATGCTGTACTGCTTGGCATTTGTGCCAGAAGCTCTAATATGAACATTTCAGTGTGTTTGGGTGTCAATCTGATGACAGTGCAGAGGATTTGGAAAGAGTTGTATGAGTCTAATGGTGATTATGAAGGTACAGCAGCTCAGAAAACTCACTCTGATTGTTCTGATGCGAAAAGAACTCCTGAATTTGTTGGTGAGGGGCTCAACATGGAGGCCTATGTCAAGTGCCTTGAGGTAGTGCTGTCATAGGTCAAGAGGGTGGCTCCTGGAAGACCCTATGTCTGGCAACATGTCTCTGCACCATGCCTCACAAG